TTTAAATAAAAGTCCGACTACCTTTAAATTTCGCCCATCTCAATATTTCTACCAACACAAGATCTTCTACCACTCCTATTGGACCACTTCCCACAACGGGTAAAAATTTGTAATAATTAAAAGGCTCTGTAATTTCCCCCATTACCATTACTTAGTACATTTAGTACAACTATATTACGCATATCCAAACCCAGTGACATCCATATCAAATTTCAGACTTTCAGCTCTATTCCTTTACCCAATACCTAATTTAGTTCAATTTAGCACTTTTCGAACAAATATAGTACAAATTTCCAAACCCACCTCCAAATTCCAACCTCAGATACCAACAGTGACATCAATATACAATTTCATGATTTCAGGTCTTTAAGTTCCCCTATTACCAAATTTACCACCACTTTGTATATTTAAAACCAGCCTCTTTTCTCAACCAAAGACACCAACAGTGACATCCATATCAAATTTAGGTCTTTCCCTGCATCCATATATAGTACATATTTCCGAAACCACCTTCATATTCACGATACGAACAAATTTGAGGATTTCAGCTCTATCCCTTCACCCAATACCAAATTTAGTACCATTTAATACTTTTCGTACAAATATGGAACGCATTTCCAAACCATCGCCAAATCTCAAACACAGATACCACCAGTGATCTGAATATAAATTGTCAGAATTTTATCTCTATTCCTTCACCCAAAATCAAATATGGTACCATTCTGTAATTTTTGTAAAATTGTAGTACAAATTTCAGAAAACACCTCCACTAGTCGATGTGTAGCCTCATGTACAACGACCTTAATACCAAATTTCAGATTTCAAGCACTATCTGTTCAGCCAATACCAAATTTTTACCAAATATAGTACTATTTAGTACCTGCACCAAATTTAGTACCATTTTAGTACAGTTCGCACATTTAGTAAGCATTTCCGAATTCACCTTCAAATATCAAACTTGCTTTCAAGTTTTTAACTCAATCCGTTCACATAATACCAAATGGTACCACTTTAAAAGTTTAGTACCATTTTATAACTTTTCGTGAGAGTCACTGATGGAATGCAGTATATATATACCAAAAGGTTTTTGGAAACTCGAACTTTAAGAGTTTCCAAAAACCTTTTGGTATATATATACTGCATTCCATCAGTGACTCTCAGAATTCTCCAATACAAAGTATTCAAGTTTTAGTACATTTTAGTACTTTTCGTACCCTGTTATTACGAATTTCCAAAAACCGAGCCTTGTCACACGCATACACATGAAGACTGCCCTCGTGCAAAATTTCAAGATTTAAGATTTTATCTCTACCCCTTCACATAATACCAAATAGTACCATTTTAGAAGTTTAATACCTTTTTAGTACTTTCGTATTTCCCAATTCTAGCTCATTTGGTTTCCATTTTTAAGTACATTTTAATACTTTTGTTCCTTTTTGGTACAAATTTCAAAAAACCCCAGCTTTATAATACACCTACGCACCAAGGCTTACCTTTGTACCAAATTTCAGGATTACATATTTCGTCTGAGCGTTGATTTATTGGCTTCTTTTTCCTTAAGATGTCCTACCACAATGCAAATATTATTGTCCCAGGTCATAATATGTAAACCCTGAAAAAAATGTAAACCCTTTACATTTTTAAATAATTTTTCCACCACACCTCCCCCTTACTCTTGTATCCTTAAGACAACAGTGATTTTCAATGAAGGACATACATTTCCTGACCACAAAGTCAAACGAAGACATCCCAAGTATGATTTTATTAAACTTAATGAAGTATCCTTTGGCTTTGTCTCTTTTTCGGACTCAGCGAAAATAAGTTCACTTGTTGACATAATTCCCTGTCATTACCGTCTTCCCGGAATGTCAATCAATGTCATAACCAAGCATTTTTCTCCACACCCCCACCCCCACGTCATCAATCTGCTCGAAAGATGCAATTACAAAGTGATTATGCAACGAGCACAACTGTGAAAATTCAAATTAAATATTTAATTTTTCTTCAGTTTTTCACGACTTTTTTTGCTATTGTTGTTGTGTCATCGTAGCAGGATTTTTTTGTTTTTGGTATTCTGCACCTGCATCTTCAATACAGGTAAATTTGTGCGCATCTTGATGCGTAATGGCAACGATGCCATTAACATATTTTACAACAATCATTATCATCGGTATAGCAGCAAGTCAGACGCATCTTCCCTTCACAGCGACCCCTCCCCTATCCTTTTTACATCTTTGGCTTAAAATTCACAAAGGCAAACGCATAAATGGAGCAGCAAATGTATGGGGGAGAGCAAGCGAACTAACGATGCACAGTGGTTCAAAACTCAATATTTAAAACCCTATCTCAGAAATGCTGGCTCGAATTCAAGTAGGATATCGACCCTCATTCTTCAAACAGGAATGAATCGCAAGACCTCCCGCATAAAATGAAATAGTGGAGAATAAACTTAAATTATATCATACTTAAGATATGTTCAAAAATCAACCATAGAAGTCTGGATTTTTGGGAAATTTGTTGCTTGAGACTGAATTTTAAAAATCAGCCTTCCAAAGGTACGAAAAATACTAAAAGGTACAACAAGCGAGTGATAGGAGCTTGGATTTTTACGTTTTTCAGGAAGATAAGTCTGGCTGCAAAGGTATGAAAAAGGCCTGGATTTTTGAAACCCACAATTCTAATAAAGAGTAGACGTCTTAGCGAGCAGGAAATTTCTAAATTTGTACTTTAAAGGTACAAAAGTACTAAAAGGTACAACATTGCCGTCGAAAACATGTAGATCTTTGAAACTCTGCATGAGGGTATAGCTGCTGCAAAGGGACGAATCAAGTCTGGATTTTTGGAAATCTGTTGCATAAAACTGCATTTGAAAATCAGATATGAAAAGTACTAAAAAGTACAACATTGTTACTAAGCGAACGATAGGAGCTAGAATTTTCAAATTTAGCACGAAGATAAGTCCAGCTGCAAATGGATGAAAAAATCTCGGGTTTATGAAATCCAGAATTCTAAGAAAGAGTAGGCGTCTTAGCGAGCAGGCCACCATGGCGAGTCAGAAAGAGTGGTATAATGTAGGACTTTTTGAAATTTGTACTTTAAAGGTACAAAGAGTACCAAAGGGTACAACATTGCCATCGAAAATATGTAGATCTTTGAAATTTTGCATGGAGGTAACCTTTCCGCAAAGGGACGAAGAAATTTGTTGCATTAAACTGCAGTTTTCAAAGCAGCCTTCCAAAGGTACTAAAACGTACAAAATTGTTACTAAGAAAACGATATTAGCTTAGACTCTTAAATTTGGAATGAAGATAAGTCTGGCTGCAAAGGTATGAAAAGGTTCTGGTTTTATGAAATCCATACTTCTAATAGAGAGTACGCTTCATGGGGAGCAGACTACACCCTCTTCTTAAAATATTGTTACCAATTTTTTTATACCCTCAGCCATATGGCTACCTCATAGAAATAACGGTTTTAGATCTCCCTAGGTCTCTTTCGACCAAATCCGTTTCTGATTGATGGGCACGATAACTCTCGAAGGGAATATCCGATTTGATCCAAACTTGGTACATCGTAGCATTATTGTCTAACTTAGATCGAACTCGAAATAACGGTTTTAGGTCTCCCTAGGTCTCTTTGGACCAAATCCGTTTCTGATTGATGGGCACGATAACTCTCGAAGGGAATATATCTAACTTAGATCGAACTCGAAATAACGGATTTAGGTCTCCCTAGGTCTCTTTGGACCAAATCCGTTTCGGATTGATGGGCACGATAACTCTCGAAAGGAATATCCGATTTGATCCGAACTTGGTACATCGTAGCATTATTGTCTAACTTAGATCGAACTCGGAAATGGTCAATATCTGTCCACTCCTTGTGGTAAATCATCCCCCACAAAAGGTCGAAAATCCTAATATTTGTATCAGTGCTAGATTGGGTGGGAATGAAAAATCATAACTCTTTTAAAATGTAAAAGAGTCCGATTATCTTCAGATTCCGCACATCTCAATATTTCTACCAGCACAAGCCCTGGTGTGAAGACAAAGTATTTTGGACAACGCCTTCTGGTACCTTCCCAACAACGGGTCAAATTTTTGAATAATTATATGTGTCATAAAATGCGAAATAAGCAACCGATTCATTTAAAATTCATAACTCCTAATATTTGTATCAGTGCCAAATTGGGTGCGAAAATGGACAATATCGGTCCACTCCACCAAGTAGCTCCCCCAAAAAGGGTCAAAATTTTAAAATGTAAAAGAGTCCGATTGTCTTCACATCTCAATATTTCTACCAGCACAAGCTCTGGTATGAAGACAAAGTATTTTGGACAACGCCTTCTGGTACCTTCCCCACAACGGGTCAAAATGTTGAATAATTATATGTCTCATAAAATGCGAAATAAGCAACCGATTCATTTAAAACTTCACACGTATCAATATTTTTACTAACATAACATCGGATGAGAATATGGTAGATATCAATTCACTCGTTCTGGTACCTCCTCCTCCACAAAGGGTCAAAATGTTGAATATTTATGAAACTCATAAAACGCGAATTTAACATCCGATTCCATTTAGACTAGGTAAATCTCAATATTTCTATCAACACAAGATTTTTTAAAAAGATGGTGAAGATCGGACCATTCCTTCTGGTACCTCCTCCACATAGAGTTCAATTTTTTGTTTGGCTATCTTTGTCTTGATATGTTTTATTTCGAATTCTAAATAAATATTTTAAATATCGCTGATGACATAAAAAAAATAATTTTCATCAGAAAATATCGTATTCCGAACCCCTGTGCAAAGATGGGCAACAATGGTCACGATGTCCTTTATGTGCTGAAATGCAAGCATGGCAACACGTTTCCACGTTTATGCCTTTTAATGAAATAGCAACAATGTCGTTATCAGCGCCCTTATTATTATTCGCACAGTTTTTGCATTTTTACTCTCCAACACCCACTCACCAATCTACCTCCCCCATATTTCTGTTTACAGATTTCCCACCCTGTCACCATGGCCAGTTCCGCTGTACCAATGCCCTGTGTATACCCTCGAATTTCTATTGTGACGGTTATCACGATTGTGCTGATGAGAGTGATGAAGCCAATTGTACGGCGATTGCCTGCCCCGATAATAAATTCCTTTGTCCTCGTGGCGGTGTTAATGGTACCCCCAAATGTATATTGAAGACCCAGCTGTGTGATGGCAAAAGAGACTGTGAGGATGGCAGTGATGAGGAGGAGGCATGTTGTAAGTATTAACTAAAAGAGAGAGAGAGGGAGAGACATTAGATTTGAATTCAATGATTGTTTGTTTTGTGTGTTTTCCCCAATTTCCAGCTACCTCTTCCTGTCCGGCCCTTAGCTGTGAATACAAATGTGGTCCCTCGTTGACGGGTGGTGTTTGCTATTGTCGTCCCGGCCAATCTCTGGCGCCCGATAATCGTACATGTGTGGATTTTGATGAGTGTTCCGAGTGGGGTCACTGTGACCAGTTGTGTACCAATACCCAGGGCTCTTACACATGTTCCTGTACGCATGGTTATACCCTGATAAACAATGCCAAATGTATTGCTCCCGATGCCAATAATTTACAATTGATATTTGCCCATGATCGTGCTGTGGTCAGGATGTCGTCGCATGGTGGTGATCCACGCATCATTGCCAATGCCAGTGCTGCCTCGGGTGTGGCCTATCACTATCAACGCAATACCTTATACTGGTCGGACACCAAGACGCGTAAGGTACAAAGTTTGCCGCTGGATGTGTTTAGCAGTGCCATACAACCCTTGGATCTAACACTACCCGGAACCTGGGCTCCCGTGGCCTTGGCCGTCGATTGGGTGGGTGATAAAATCTATGTGGCCGATTTGGTGGGCCAAAAGATTGATGTCTTCGAATTAACCGGAAACTGGCATGCTGTGGTTTTGGGTTCCAATCTTACTGGGCCTGCTGATTTGGCATTGGATCCCACGGCGGGTCTCATGTTTGTTGCCGATGGTGGCCAGGTTTTGAAGGCCCACATGGATGGTACCCATGTTCGCTCAATTGTTTCCGAAGCTGCCTACAAGGCCAGCGGTGTTACCGTTGACATCATCTCCAAACGTGTTTTCTGGTGCGACTCCCTGCTGGACTACATTGAAGCAATCGACTATGAAGGCAATCATCGTGTTATGGTTCTCAGGGGTCAGCAGGTACCCAGTCCCTCTCGATTGGCCTTATTTGAAAATCGCATCTTCTGGACCGATGCCACCAAACAGGGCATTATGTCAGTGGATAAATATGCCGGTCCCACCTCCATCCAGGTGACCTACAAGGCCAAGGACATACGTGAACCCAAGGGTATTGTGGCCGTTCATGCATTGAGTCAACCCAAGGCCAGCAATCCCTGTGGTAGCAACAATGGAGGCTGTAACCACATGTGCATTGTAACTGCCGTCAAGGGAGCCAACCACTTGGGTTATCGCTGTGCCTGCCACACTGGCTACCAGTTGCAATCGGATCTGAAAAATTGTAAAATTGTCAAAGAGTTCCTCATGTATTCCCAGCAACGTTTCATCAAGGGCAAGGTATTGGAGCCCGTCATTGAGGGCTTCAGTGATGCCATTTTGCCAGTGGTATCGCGTCGGGCGCGATTTGTTGGCCTGGACTTTGATGCCCGTGATGAGTTCATTTACTACTCTGATGTTCTGCAAGATGTCATCTATCGGGTACATCGCAATGGAACGGGACGTGAAATTGTCTTGGCCTCGCAGAATGAAGGTGTGGAAGGTTTAGCCGTCGATTGGGTCTCAAAGAATCTCTACTACATTGATTCCCGCAAGGGAACCCTCAATGTTCTCTCCACCCGCAATGTCACCTATCGCCGTACGCTATTGAAGAATCTCAAACGTCCACGTGCCATTGTTGTCCACCCCAACAAGGGTTACATTTTCTTCTCCGAATGGGATCGTCCAGCCAATATTACACGTGCCAACACCGATGGCTCTAATTTGCTGGTCTTCAAAAATGTTACCCTGGGTTGGCCCAATGGTCTCTCCATTGATTTTAAAGAAGATCGTGTCTACTGGTGTGATGCTCTACTCGATCATGTGCAACACTCGAAACTGGATGGTACTGACATAAAAACCGTTAATTCCCGCCTAGTACGTCATCCCTTCTCAATTGTCATACACAACGATTGGATGTACATAACGGATTGGCGTCTGGATGCAATTATACGCTTACACAAACTAACTGGAGAACAAGAGGAAATGATGGTTCGCGAGCCACAAACAAATCGTTTGTATGGTGTCAAGGTCTATAGCCACGATGTCCAAACTGTGTCGGATGCCCAACCCTGCCACTTTGATAATGGCAAATGTGAGAAGATATGTTTTGCTGTGCCATCGAATGATACTGGCGTCCTGCAGCCTAAATGTTCCTGTCCCTATGGTGAGCGGTTGGCTGATGATCAGGTATCTTGTGTGGTAGATGAGAGTGCTGAGCCACCGGTACAACCCTGTCCGAATTCTTGGGATTTCACCTGTAACAACCAGAGATGTATACCCAAATCTTGGGTATGTGATGGAGATGATGATTGCTTGGATAACAGTGATGAGGAGCAGAATTGTACAAGTAAGTAGAGGCGAGGGGGATATTTTTATTGAAATTATTTTGAAGCCATGCTTAATGTATCCAGGGTATGGATAATCTACCCAAATGCAGAAAATGTATGGAAATGTATCCAGGGTATGGATAAATTTTACAAGACAAAACTGTGACTATCCAAGACATTGGATAATTATCCAAGGCTTCAAAAACTTATCCAAGACACTTCCAAAACTTGGATAACATATCCCAAATATTTCCAAAGCATGGGTAACTTATCCAAGCAGTGGATAAATTATCCAAGATATTCCCAAGGCGTGGAAATCTTATGCACGACATTTCCAAGGAGTGGATATATTACCCAAGACATTTCCAAATCGTGGATAACTTATCCAAGACATTTTGAAGGCTCGGATAACTTATCCAATACATTTTCAAGGCCCGGAAAATTGTCCATGGCCTGGATGTCTTATCCAAGACATTTCCATAGCGTGAATAACTTATCCAAGGCGTGGATAACTTATCCATGACATTTTCAAGGCGTGGATAACTTATCCATGACATTTTCAAGGCGTGGATAACTTATCCATGACATTTTCAAGGCGTGGATAACTTATCCATGACCTTTTCAAGGCGTGGATAACTTATCCATGACATTTTCAAGGCGTGGATAACTTATCCATGACATTTTCAAGGCGTGGATAACTTATCCATGACCTTTTCAAGGCGTGGTTTAATTATCCAAACCGTGGATAATTTATCCATGACATTTTCAGGGCGTGGATAAAGTATTCAAGAGGTGGATAACTTATCCATGACATTTTCAGGGCGTGGATAACTTATCCATGACATTTTCAAGGCGTGGATAATTTATCTAAGGCGTGGATAATTTATCCAAGGCGTGGATAATTTATCCATGACATTTTCAAGGTTAGGATAAAGTATCCAAGGCGTGGATAACTTATCCATGACATTTTCAAGGTTAGGATAAAGTATCCAAGGCGTTGATAACTTATCCATGATATTTTCAAAGTCAGGATAAAGTATCCAAGACGTTGATAACTTATCCATGATATTTTCAAAGTCAGGATAAAGTATCCAAGGCGTGGATAAATTATCCATGACATTTTCAAGGTTAGGATAAAGTATCCAAGGCGTGGATAACTTATCCATGATATTTTCAAAGTCAGGATAAAGTATCCAAGGCGTGGATAAATTATCCATGACATTTTCAAGGTTAGGATAAAGTATCCAAGGCGTGGATAACTTATCCATGATATTTTCAAAGTCAGGATAAAGTATCCAAGGCGTGGATAAATTATCCATGACATTTTCAAGGTTAGGATAAAGTATCCAAGGCGTGGATAACTTATCCATGATATTTTCAAAGTCAGGATAAAGTATCCAAGGCGTGGATAAATTATCCATGACATTTTCAAGGTTAGGATAAAGTATCCAAGGCGTGGATAATTTATCCATGATATTTTCAAAGTCAGGATAAAGTATCCAAGGCGTGGATAAATTATCCATGACATTTTCAAGGTTAGGACAAAGTATCCAAGGCGTGGATAAATTATCCATGACATTTTCAAGGCGTGCATGAATTATCCATGACATTTTCAAGGCGTGGATAAAGTATCCAAGACATGGATAACTTATCCATGACAATTTCAGGGCGTGGATAAAGTATCCAAGATGTGGATAACTTTTTCCAAACCGTGGATAATTTATCCATGACATTTTCAGGGCGTGGATAAAGTATTCAAGAGGTGGATAACTTATCCATGACATTTTCAGGGCGTGGATAACTTATCCATGACATTTTCAAGGCGTGGATAATTTATCTAAGGCGTGGATAATTTATCCAAGGCGTGGATAATTTATCCATGACATTTTCAAGGTTAGGATAAAGTATCCAAGGCGTGGATAACTTATCCATGACATTTTCAAGGTTAGGATAAAGTATCCAAGGCGTTGATAACTTATCCATGATATTTTCAAAGTCAGGATAAAGTATCCAAGGCGTTGATAACTTATCCATGATATTTTCAAAGTCAGGATAAAGTATCCAAGGCGTGGATAAATTATCCATGACATTTTCAAGGTTAGGATAAAGTATCCAAGGCGTGGATAACTTATCCATGATATTTTCAAAGTCAGGATAAAGTATCCAAGGCGTGGATAAATTATCCATGACATTTTCAAGGTTAGGATAAAGTATCCAAGGCGTGGATAACTTATCCATGATATTTTCAAAGTCAGGATAAAGTATCCAAGGCGTGGATAAATTATCCATGACATTTTCAAGGTTAGGATAAAGTATCCAAGGCGTGGATAACTTATCCATGATATTTTCAAAGTCAGGATAAAGTATCCAAGGCGTGGATAAATTATCCATGACATTTTCAAGGTTAGGATAAAGTATCCAAGGCGTGGATAATTTATCCATGATATTTTCAAAGTCAGGATAAAGTATCCAAGGCGTGGATAAATTATCCATGACATTTTCAAGGTTAGGACAAAGTATCCAAGGCGTGGATAAATTATCCATGACATTTTCAAGGCGTGCATGAATTATCCATGACATTTTCAAGGCGTGGATAAAGTATCCAAGACATGGATAACTTATCCATGACAATTTCAGGGCGTGGATAAAGTATCCAAGATGTGGATAACTTTTCTATGACATTTTCAGGGCGTGGATAAAGTATCCAAGACATGGATAACTTATCCATGACAATTTCAGGGCGTGGATAAAGTATCCAAGATGTGGATAACTTTTCTATGACATTTTCAAGGCGTGGATAAAGTATCCAAGACATGGATAACTTATCCATGACATTTTCAAGGCGTGGATAAAGTATCCAAGATGTGGATAACTTATCCATGACAATTTCAGGGCGTGGATAAAGTATCCAAGATGTGGATAACTTTTCTATGACATTTTCAGGGCGTGGATAAAGTATCCAACACATGGATAACTTATCCATGACAATTTCAGGGCGTGGATAAAGTATCCAAGGGGTAGATAATTTATCCATTCAACAATTTATATTTAATTAAAATTTCTTTCTCCTCACCTTTCTTCCTTTTATAGAACCCACGTGCGGCTCCAATGAGTTCCAATGTAAATCTGGTCGTTGCATCCCCTTGAATTTCCGCTGTGATCAGGAGAATGACTGTGGCGACAATTCCGACGAGTTCGAATGCGGCAACGTAACCTGTGGCACGGCACAATTTGCCTGCGCCAATGGACGCTGCATCCCCAACATGTGGAAATGTGACAGCGAAAACGATTGCGGTGATGGTTCCGATGAGGGTGATTTTTGTGCCGAAAAGACTTGTGCCTACTTCCAGTTCACGTGTCCACGTACCGGTCATTGTATTCCTCAGAGTTGGGTGTGTGACGGCGATGATGATTGTTTCGATAAGCAGGACGAAAAGGATTGTCCACCCATAACATGTTTGGCGAATCAATTTAAGTGTGCCGATTTGCGACAATGTGTGGAGGAATCGTATAAATGTGATGGTATTCCGGATTGTAACGATGGCAGTGATGAGGAGGGATGTCCTTCGATGGGACCAAATCAATGTAATCTCGAGAAACATTTCAGATGTAAGAGTTCTGGATTTTGTATACCCATTGCCTGGCACTGCGATGGCTCGAATGATTGTTCCGATCATTCGGATGAAGAGGAGTGTGGTCAGATAACCTGTGCCCCGAACTTCTTCAAGTGTAACAACAGTAATTGTGTGTTTAAGGCCTATATTTGTGATGGTAAAGATGATTGTGGTGATGGGTCGGATGAGAGTGCCATGCATGCCTGTGTACCTCCACCATTCAGGTGTCCTCATGGTCAATGGCAATGTCCGGGTGTAACTAATCGTTGTGTCAACACCACTTCGGTGTGTGATGGAACTCCTGACTGTCCAAATGGTTCGGATGAAGGTGAAGGCTGTGATTTGGCCGAGTGTGAACATCAAAGTGGTCTGTGTTCGAATGGTTGCCAGAAGACACCATTGGGCGCCACCTGTGTTTGTCCCCCAGGCTCGGAGATTGGAGAAGATAAATATACCTGTGTCGATACAAATGAATGTGATCCACCCGGCTTGTGTTCCCAGATGTGTACCAACACCAAGGGCTCGTACTTCTGTTCCTGTACGGATGGTTACATTTTGGAACCGGATAAGCATCGTTGCAAGGCTGTCAATCATACCGCTGCCTTTTTGATTATTTCCAATCGTCATTCGATTTTGGTGGCTGACTTGAAGGACCAGGGTTTGGAACGTGTACCGATTTATGTTGAAAATGTTGTGGCCACAGCCTCGAACATGCACACTGGCACGATATTCTGGAGTGATATGAAACTGAAAAAGATCTCCCGTTTAGACAGAGGCTCAGATCCCCAGGAAATTATTACCACAGGCTTGGATTTGGTTGAGGGTTTGGCCTACGATTGGATTGCTAAGAATCTCTATTGGTTGGATAGTAAACTGAATACGATCGAAGTGTCGGCGGAGAATGGTTCAAATCGTTTGGTTTTGGTGCGCGAAAATATTACCCAACCACGTGGCATGTGCATTGATCCCAGTCCTGGAGCACGCTTTATTTTCTGGACCGATTGGGGTGAAAATCCACGTATCGAACGTATCGGCATGGATGGCACAATGCGTGAAACAATTATCAATACGAAAATCTATTGGCCCAATGGCTTGACTTTGGATACCGCCACGAAGAGGGTTTACTTTGCCGATTCCAAATTGGATTTCATTGATTTCTGCTACTACAATGGTACGGGACGGCAACAGGTTTTGGCTGGTAGCCATTATCTTCTGCATCCCCATTCGTTGTCTTTGTTCGAAGATACGCTCTACTGGACAGATCGTCAATTGAATCGTGTGTTGTCGGCCAATAAGTTCCGGGGTCATAATCAAACCGTTGTGTCGCATTTGATAAGCCAACCCTTGTCCATACATGTCCACCACCCATCGCTGCAGCCCATCCATCCGAATCCATGTGAGAACTCCAAATGTCAACATTTGTGTCTGCTAAGTCCCTCGGCCAGTGAGGGTTATTCGTGTAAATGTAAACCCGGTTATCGTCTGCTGAGTGAAGGTCGTTGTGTGGAGGAGGAGAATCCCTTCCTGATGGTTGTCAAGGGCACTCAGATTGTGGATATTCCATTGAATGGTGGTGATGCCAGAGCTGGTTCTTTGGCTCCGGTAATTGGCATTGAAAGCTCGACAGGCTTGGACTTTGATCGCAAGGGCGAGACTTTGTATTGGATCCAGGGACGTGAAGATGATGATGAGAATTGTACCATTTTCACCACACCCTATGGTGGAGGTAATAAGACCCAATTTTTGGGACTCGATACTGGTATTGTGGGAGCTCCTTACACCATTGCTTTCGATTGGTTGGGTCGCAATCTGTATATGGGCAATCGCATTGCCAGCAATATTGAGGCCGTACGTGTGGATGGTAAAATCAAATATCGCACCATTATTCTGGCCAATGATGGCAATCGTACCTCTGTCTCGAAACCCAAGCAAATTGTCCTGGATCCCAATGAGGGAAAACTTTTCTGGATCGATGAGGGTGGCTTTGGAGTGCCAGTGAAAATTGCCCGTGTAAATATGAATGGTCGTAATCCGGTGGTGCTGAAGGAGGATATCGATAGACCGGAAAGTATTACCCTGGATATTGACAAGAAGCAGGTGTATTATTCCACCCAATTCCCGGCCACGATTTGTGTCATGGACTATAATGGTGATGATTTCCGGCTGCTACTGACCGAAGAGAATGCCATTGCCAAACCACGCAGCTTGGGTGTCCTGGACTCCCGTTTGTATTTCCTGGATCCCACCTATGAAAATATTGTAAGAGTAGACTTACCGCGAGGCGATAATCCCAAGATCATTGTGGACAATGAACCCGAACTGAAGAGTATGATGATCTACAAGAAACGTCCCATGATGCAGCATCCCTGTCAGACAAATAATGGCGGGTGTGAACACATTTGCATACCGGATGATGGAGCTTCGCGTACCTGCTCCTGTGGCATTGGATATCGCAAGGAGAATGATATTAACTGTGTGGCCTACAAGACCTTTGCTGTAGTCTCACAGCTGGATGTGACCAGAGGTTATAGCTTGACCGACAGCTCCGAGGCCATGGTGCCCATTAGTGGTACCGGACATCACATACTCCATGTGGATGTGCTGTTCCGTGAACAATGGATTTACTGGGCTGAATATAATCGTGGCTATTGGAGTGGTATCTTCCGTACCAGGCCCAATGGCACGGAATTGGAACACATTATCAAGGATGGTATTGGAAGTAATGGTATCCGTGGTCTGACCATTGATTGGGTTGCCGGTAACTTGTATTTCACCAATGTCTATCCGCATGAGAATTATGTGGAGGTTTGCTGGTTGGATGGCAGCCATCGCAAGGTTCTGGTCAAGACCACCAATGATGCTCCCCGTGAACTGGCTGTAAATCCCATTAAACGTCTACTCTACTGGATTGATTATGGCCAATATCCTCGCATTGGCAAGGCCTTTTTGGATGGTAGTAAATGGACACCGGTTGTGACCTCCGGAATTTCCAATCCTCGTGATCTGACCGTGGATATGTTGACACATGATGTGTACTGGGTTGATTCGAAATTGGATACGATACAAAAGATTTCCTATTCAGGAGGCAATCGACAAATTATTAGACGTAACCTGCCGAATCCCATGGGTATTGCCATACATTTGGGAGAGGTCTACTGGGTAGATCGCAATCTGATGACGGTGTTTAAGGCCTCGAAATTGCCTGGCAATAATACCCTGCCCACCAAGGTTAGGACCAACTTGCCCAAGCTACGTGACATTGCCATCTATAGCATCAATAATCAGCCTCAAGATGAAAGTAATCCTTGTACTCGACTGGGTAATGGAGGCTGTGATCAGCTGTGCTTTAGCTTCCCCGTTGATGCATCCAATCCCTCGCGTTTGAGTTATCGCTGTGATTGTGCCACCGGAAAATTGGCCAGTGATGAGCGCAAATGTGAAAGCGTAAATGAGTACTTGGTATTCGCCACCCGTACCGAAATACGTGCCGTCAATTTGGATCCCCGCTCCACCCAGATACCCTTCACACCCATGACAAACCTGACCAATGTTGTGGGCTTGGATTTCGATTTCCACGACAATCACATGTTCTATACACAAATCCGTCCATGGGCTAAGATAGCCTACACCAAGGCCGACAAGCCTTCAATCAGTGATGTGGAAGTCGTTCTAAGCAAGGGCATTAATCCCGAGGGTATTTCCTATGATTGGACACAGAACAAGATCTACTGGACCGATAGTTCGAATAACTCGATTTATGCCATGAATTTGGATGGCAGTGATTTGGTAATGATTGCCCGTGTGGAAAGACCCCGAGCCATTGTTTTGGATCCCTGTAATGGTACCTTGTACTTTACCGACTGGGGAAGATTTGGTACATCGGGCAAGATTTTCAAGACCACCATGGCTGGATCGTTAAAGAGAGCAATTGTGGATAAGGATTTGTCGCAACCCAGCGGCTTGGCTATTGACTATGACGAACGTAAGCTATACTGGACCGATGCTGTGCGGGAGAAAATTGAAAGAGCCGATTTGGATGGTAAAAATCGCGAACTGCTGGTGGCAGCCACAATTTATCCCTTCTCCATAACGGTGTTCCGTAACTATATCTACTGGACTGATTTGCAGCTGAGAGGTGTCTATCGTGCCGAGAAGCATACCGGGGCGAATATGATTGAAATGGTTAAACGTTTGGAAGACTCACCGCGTGACATTAGGGTCTACAGTGCCGATAGGCAAAAGTGTAATGTCAATCCTTGCCTGATCAATAATGGTGGCTGTGCCCAATCCTGTCATCCGGCGCCAAACGGCAAGGCAGAATGTAAATGTGATGACAACTCCAAGGTGGTGAATGAGGGACGTATGTGTGCTCCACGCAACAACACCTGTGAGGCCAGCAAATTCTATTGCCAGAATGGTAAATGTATATCGCGCATGTGGTCCTGCGATGGTGACGATGACTGTGGTGATAACTCCGATGAAGATCCCAACTACTGTGCCTATCACTCCTGCTCACCCAATGAGTTCCGTTGCAACAATGGCCGTTGTATTTTCAAGAGTTGGAAGTGTGATCATGAAAATGACTGCAAAGATGGATCGGATGAAATCGATTGTACCTACCCGCCGTGTGTTGATGGTGAATTCACTTGTGGAAATGGCCGTTGTATACCTATGTCTCAGGTTTGTAATGGTGTCAACGATTGCAAGGATAATGCCACCTCGGATGAGACACATGAGAGATGTCCCACTAACACCACTTGCCCGGCCAATCACTTGAAATGTGAAAAGACCAACATCTGTGTGGAACCCTATTGGCTGTGTGATGGTGACAATGATTGTGGTGATAATTCCGATGAAGATCCTTTGCATTGTGGCCAGAGAACTTGCCCTGCAAATAGTTTCCGTTGTCCCAATCATCGTTGTATTCCCGCCACCTGGTATTGTGATGGTGATGATGATTGTGGTGATGGGGCGGATGAGCCACCAGAGTATTGCAAATCCGAGGGAAGAACTTGCTTTGGAGATCTCTTCACCTGTGACAATGGCAATTGCATACCCAGAATTTATATCTGTGATGGTGACAATGATTGCTTGGACAACTCCGATGAGGATAATCGGCATCAGTGCAGTAAGTTGGAAACGTTTTAAAAAATTGGAAAGGATTTTTCACCGAATTTTTCTTTGTTTTTCTTTTTAGATGAACGCAAATGTGATGAGGAAACCGAATTTACCTGTGTCGAAAACAAATCATGGGGCAGGGCTCAGTGTATACCCAAGAAATGGATTTGTGATGGTGATCCAGATTGTGTGGATGGTGCCGATGAGAATGTCACTTTGCATAACTGTGCCACCCAGCAACCATGTGGTGAGGATATGTTCACCTGCGGCAATGGCAGATGTATTAATAAGGTAAGGGGAAACAAATAAACAAGACAGCTAAGTTCGGCGGGGCGAATACCCACCACCATTTGGAAGGAAGTTGAAAATTTTCAAAAAAAATTCGAAAAATACATCTTAAAAAATACCAGGCTATACGAAGACTTGGACCTGCATAAGAAATTTGTTGTTATAGGCTGTAGTACCCATTAAGATTTTCAAATGAGAAATTTGAAAAAATTCCGGTGAATATTGTCGCTAAAATCATCAAAATACCGAATATCGGGACGTACCGTTATATGGGGGCTATTCGAAGACGTGGACCTGTATACGAAATTTTTTGTTATAGGCTGCAGTACCCATTACGAACTTTGAATACGAAATTTAAAACAATTCCGGTGAATGTGGTAGCTAAAATCGTGAAAATACCGAATATTGGGAGGTACCGTTATATGGGGGCTATACGAAGACGTGAACCGGCATACGAAATTTTTTTCATAGGCAGGGTACTAACCCATTACAAATATCGAATACGAAACTCTAAAAAATTCCGGTAAATAATGTCGCTAAAATCATGAAAATACCGAATATCGGGAGGTACCCTTATATGGAGGTTATACGAAGACGTGGACCTGCAAACGAAATTTTTTGTCATGGGCTTTAGTACCCATTAAGATCTTTGAATATGAAATTTGAAACAATTCCGGTGAATAATGCCGGTAACATCATGAAAATACCGAATATGAGGAGATTCCGTTATATGAGCGCGATACGAAGACGGGGACCTGCATACGAAATTTTTTGGCAAAGGTTGTAGTATCTATTACGAACTTTGAATACGAAATTTGCCGTTTTATGGGGGCTATTCGAAGACTTGGACCTTCATGCGAAAAATTATGTCAAAGGCTAAATTTGAAACAATTCCGTTATAAAATGTCGCTGAAATCATGAAAATACAGAATATCGGGAGGAGGTATCGTTATATGGTGGCTATACGAATACGTGGACCGATATGACCCATTTTCGAACCTAACCTGCCCGCTGAAATATAAACATCATCATCAAATCTCAATTCGTTCAACAACCTACAGACGTACATACGGATTTAGCATTTTACGCGGATCATGAATATATATACTTTGTTGGATCCGACATGAGTATTTCGAGGAGTTGCAAACGGAATGACGAAGTTAATATACCACCATAGTATGGTGGAGGGTATAAAAACCTCTCTCTCTCACACAAAATGTTTCGATCTCTCCTCACTCTCTCAAAAAACAAAAATTATAATGGTATTTCTCTCTCTCTCTCCTTTCCAGGGTTGGGTTTGTGATCACGACAACGATTGCGGTGATGGCTCGGATGAGGGTAAATTCTGTAACTCGAAATACAAGACGTGTTCGGAACATGAATTCACCTGCCAGAATTTCAAATGTATACGCAATCAATATCGCTGCGATGGAGAGGATGATTGTGGTGATCATTCGGATGAGGTCGGTTGTAAAAAGGATAATTCCACATGTACTACTGGCCAGTTTACTTGTGCCAATGGTCAGTGTATAGATATGTCACTGGTGTGTAATAAGGTCTCCGATTGTTCCGATGACTCAGATGAACCGGCCCATTGTAATGTCGACGAATGTGCCAAGGTGGAAATTAACCAGTGTGGTCATAAATGTGTCGATACGCCGACCAGCTATTACTGTGATTGTAATCAGGGTTATAAGTAAGTATTTTATTATTTAAATCACTTAATTTTCGGAATATTACAACATTTTTCAATTTTCTTCCCTCTCCCCACATAGACTCCTGGCCGATGGCAAAGCCTGTGCGGACATTGATGAATGTATTGAATTACCCGGTGCCTGTTCACAACATTGTTCCAACACCCCGGGCAGCTATTATTGTAAATGTGATGAACGCTATTACGAACGCCAGCTGGATGAACACACATGCAAGCGTAAGGACAATACCTCAGCCTGGTTAATCTTTACGAACAAATACTATGTACGCAACATGTCCGTTGATGGCCATCAATATAATCTCATGCATCAGGATCTAATGAATGTTGTGGCTTTGGACTTTGACATTAAGGAGGAGTACATGTATTTCTGTGATGTCACGGCCAAGACAATATTCCGTTCGAAATATACCGATCCAAGTGAGAAACCACCACGTGAAGCTGTTATACGTCACGATTCACATGGCCTGGAGGGTATTGCCATTGATTGGGTGGGCCGTAAACTCTATTGGTTAGATAGACATTCCAAGAATCTGGATGTGGCGGAGCTGGATGGTACCAAACGCAAGACATTGCGCAGTGGTGTGGTCGATCCTAGGGCAATTGTTGTCCATCCAGGTATTGGTTTCCTATACTTTACCTCATGGCATCTGCAGGCCTACATTGCCAAAATGGGTATGGATGGTTCGAACTTTACCCGGATTTTGACATGGGAAAATGATATTGCCTGGCCCAATGCCTTGGCCATTGATTACTTTACGGATCGTATTTATTGGGCTGATGCTCATTTGGATTACATAGCCTATGCTGATTTGGAAGGACGTCATCGTCACATTGTCTTGTCCGGTGCTAAGGTTCCTCATGTCTTTGCCATCTCGTTGTTCGATGATCATTTGTATTGGAGTGATTGGAATTTGAAGGCAATTGCCAGGGCGAATAAATTCACTGGTGCTAACTTTACCGTGCTACGCAACACCACTCATCGTCCCTATGATATCCACATCAATCATCCATTGCGTCAAGTGCCCTATAATAACCCGTGTGGTACCAACAATGGTGGCTGTTCACATTTGTGTTTGATCTCACCTCCCCCGGAGTCGACCTACTTGAATATTGAGGGTTACATTGAAGAAGGTGCTCCCGGCTATAAGTGTGCCTGTCCCAACCAGTTCTATTTGGCTCGTGATAGTAAGACCTGTATTGCCAATTGTACCACTGGCCAACATCGTTGCGGTGGAGATGATGAGAAATGTATACCCTGGTTCTGGAAATGTGATGGTGAAAAGGATTGTAAGGATGGTTCAGATGAGCCCACCACTTGTCCGCAACGTCATTGCCGGGCCGGCACATTCCAATGTAAGAATACCAACTGCACTCCTTCGGCCACCATTTGTGATGGCATCGACGATTGTGGTGATGGTTCCGATGAACAAAACTGTGATCTACCCTGTCCCGATTCTGATTTCAAATGTAAGTCCAGTGGCCGTTGTATTTTGGATAGCTGGCGTTGTGATGGCGATGCGGATTGTAAGGATGGCTCCGATGAGGATCCGGCTGTGTGCAGTAAGTTTTAAAACCTCATACCCTAGTTTATCATTTTTCTAAACCTATTTCTTTCTCTACTGGAACAGATAAACGTGTCTGCGATCCTGAAACCGAATTTAGCTGCAAAAATGGCCGATGCATTCCCAAGCTGTGGATGTGTGATTTCGACAATGATTGTGGTGATGATTCCGATGAGCCTGCCTATATGTGTCGCCAACGTAACTGCACCACTGGCTGGCAGAGATGTCCTGGACAATCCAACTATCGTTGCATTCCGAAATGGCTGTTCTGTGATGGCAAGGATGATTGCCGTGACAACAGTGATGAGTTGCCGGAGAATTGTCCATCTTGTAATTCGGAAACTGACTTCAAGTGTGGCAACAACAGATGTATTCCCAAGTAAGTGTGGGAGATCCTCCCGGATTTTTTTAATGTTTTCGAACATTTTCTAACCTTCCCTTTTTTTCTCTCTCTCTTCCAGACAATGGATGTGTGACTTTGCCGATGACTGCGGTGATGGTTCGGACGAAAACGAAGCCGTGTGCAAGGGCAAATATCGCGAATGCTCCGAATCGGAATTCCGTTGCGGCAATGGCAAATGTATTTCATCACGCTGGCAGTGTGATCATGAGGATGACTGCGGTGACAACTCGGATGAATTGAACTGTGAGGGCTTCCAGTGCAAGAACGGCACCTTCCAATGTGCCTCGGGTCACTGTATTGCCTCGTACTTCCGTTGTGATGGTGATCGGGATTGCCGTGACATGTCCGATGAAATGGGTTGTCCTCCAAGATTCCCAGGCGGCCGTTATTGCCCCGAATCACGCTTCCAATGTTCGAATAATCTCTGTGTTTCCCCCTCGGATCTTTGCGATGGTACTGATGATTGTGGTGATGGTTCCGATGAAGATCCTAAAGTTTGTTCCGATTTCAATTGTGACACGCTGCGACGATTCCAATGCGACAATCATCGTTGTGTGGCCCGTTATCAGATATGTGATGGTGTGGACAATTGTGGTGATGGTTCGGATGAAAACAATATGACCATATGTGCCTCCAAGGTGAAGCCCTGTGATCTCTATACCCAGTATCAGTGTGCCAACAAGAACTGTATCGATCGTGCCCAAGTTTGTGACTACTCCGATGATTGTGGTGATGCTTCCGATGAATTGGGTTGCCATCATAATCTCAGTTGTCTGGATGACACCCGCGGCGGATGCCAACATCATTGTCACAATCTGACCGATGGTGGTTACATTTGTGCCTGCTATCCGGGTTATATTATTTCCAACGACAACAAAAAGAAATGTGTGGATGTGGATGAATGTGCCACACGCCAACACACCTGCTCCCACCAATGTCACAATTTGAATGGCACCTATTCATGTTCCTGTCGGGATGGTTTCCGCCTGGTGGACAGCACCTCAGGGGTGTGCAAGGCCGAAAAGGAAGATGTTGTGGTGATATTCTCAAATGGTCCCGAGATAAGAGCTTTAGACTTACAAAAGAAGGACGAATACGATGTCATCTTGTCGGAGAAACGTATTGAGGCTTTGGATTATCATGCCGAACAGCAGATTGTCTTCTGGGCCGATAGCTATGACAAGACCATAAAACGTTCCTACATGGTAAATGCTGTGGATGGTCAGGCTCGTATTGGTTTTGCCCAGGACTTGAATATGAAGGGAGGTTCCAAACCCACAGCAGTGGCTGTTGATTGGTTGGCCAACAATCTCTACTGGGCTGAGGTGGACAGAACAGGATCTAAGCCTCGTGGCCGTGTTATGGTTGCCACCACCGATGGCCGTTACCGAAGATCAATTGTCAATGCCGGTCTTGAAGTACCCACATCCATTGCCGTTAATCCCCAATTGGGTCGTATCTATTGGTCTGATGCTGGTTCTGCTCCCAAGATTGAGGTCTCATGGATGGATGGCTCGAAGCGTCGACCAATTATTACCGAAGCCATACGACACCCAGCTGGTCTCACCATCGATTATGCCCAAGATCATGTCATCTATTGGGTGGACACCAAACTTAATACCATTGAGTCCATCAAACCAGATGGTTCGGCCCGCAAGACCGTTGTGAAAGGCGATCAACTTAGACATCCCGTCTCACTGGATATTTTCGAATCGAATATGTACTGGGTGACACGTGACACCGGAGAGCTACTGAAACAAGACAAATTCGGTCGTGGTGTCCAGGTTGCGGTTCATCGCAATCTTGTCAATCCTTCGGGTTTGAAGATATATCACGAGAAACGTTATAATACCAGTTTGAAAGATCCTTGCTTTGGCTCCAGCTGCTCGCATTTGTGTCTCTTGGTGCCCGGAGGACATCGTTGTGCTTGTCCCGACAGTTCGGGTGCTTTGCCATCACATCGCAGCACTGTTGAGGTTATCTGTGATGCTGCTGCTGAACGTCCCAGACCTGCTCCACGCATCTGCCCATGCCAGAATGGTGGTTTCTGTGTTGAGGATAACAACGGCGAATTGATGTGTGAATGTTTGGCCGATTTCAAGGGTGATCATTGTGAACAAAATGCTGCCGGCATGTTTGGGCATGGTGGTGCTAATGTCACAGCCGTAGTGGTGCCCATAATGGTAATTCTATTGGTGCTTCTGGCTGCCGGTGGTGTTTGGTTCGTGATACGCAAGAAGCCATTGTGAGTATTTTTTGAAGGTTCTCGAAAAAGATTCAAATGATTAACGCAATTTTCTTTTTTTTAGTGGAAAACTGGCCCGCCTACCTACGCTGACTTCATCACAAAGTGTCACCTTCCGCCAGGGTACCAATGTTGAATTCAATGCTCCTGGCTTCCCAGGACCCACAGCCCCAGTTGGTACCTCAACGGGCGATGTTGCACCCTTGGAAGGCTACAATTTACAAACAGTGAATGCGGGCAAGACCCGTGATTTCTCCAATCCCATGTACGATGCTGTACAATCGGGTACAACGGATCCAAGCATAAGCAATGGATCAGGTATGTTTTAGAGAATATTAAATATATTTCTGATTAGATTTTAGCGGTCACATAAAATATTTATCTGACCTTATAAACTCTGAAGAACACAATTGATAACTAGCCATGCCAGTTACAATACTGAAAAGATCAGGATATTAATTTTAGGAGAAATGTTCTTTACAAATCCACGATTATAGTCCTGATAATCCTTTAAGAAATATTCTTTACAAATCCACGATTATAGTCCTGATAATCCTTTAAGAAATATTCTTTACAAATCCACGATTATAGCCCTGATAATTCTTTAAGAAATATTCTTTACAAATCTACGATTATAGCCCTGATAATCCTTGAAGAAATATTCCTTACAATCCCACTTTTATAGCCCTAAAGAAATAGTCTTCAAAATTCACTAGTATAACCCTGAAGAAATTTTTTATAAAAATCCAAGATTACAAACTTGAAGAAAATTCACGATATTGTCCCTGGTGATCCTTGAACAAAATTTTCAAAATTTTACGGATTTCTACCTGGCTAGCAAGTACCTCCTATTTCGTCAGCGAAAAGTCCATCTTAAATTTTTAGATTCTTTCCAACATTCGTGTTAGGCCTTTTTAGTACTCAAAATGCACAATTTGTTCAATACCGAATTTGGTAACATATAGTACGCATTTCCAAAACAATCTAAATTTCTCCATTCCAACAGTGATCCAAAATTAGTACAATTTTGTACTTTTCGAATAATTACCACAGCCAGATCTCAACACAGGTACATACAGAGACCTCAATATCAAATTTTGGGTTTCCAGCTCTATCCCTTCATCCAATACCATTTTTGATACTATTTAGTACTTTTCGTACAATTTTGGTACACATTTCCAAAAACCACCTCCATATCTAAATTCCAGATATCAAAAGAGACTTCAAAATTAAATTTTTGGATTTCAATCCTATCCCTTCACACAATACCAAATTTAGTACCATTTAGTACTTTTCGTACAATTATAATACACATTTTTACAACCACCTCCTTATATCAAGGATACACATGAACGGTGACCCTAATACCAAAATTTCAGATTTTAAACACTATATGTTCATCCAATGCCAAATTGTACCAAATATAGTACTATTTAGTACTTTTCGTGTACTTCATAGTACACCTTTTCAAAACCAACCAAAACCAAACCAATTCTCCATCTTATACACTAACAGTGATTCTATAACCAAATTTCAGATTTCAAGCAATATCAGTACCATTTAGTACCTTACGTATGCTTGCTGAACGAATTCCTGACCCCAAATCTTTATCTTAAACCTACCCACATGTATTGACCCCAGTAACAACATTCCATTCTTCTTCTGTTTATCCAAAATGAAATTGTACCAAATTTAGTACCATTTAGTACAGTTCTTACGCTTAGTACTCATATCCAAAACCAGCCTCCTTACCAAAAATAGATTCTCTTACAAAAATTTAAGAATTTACCTCTAACCGTTCACATAATTACAAATGGTACCAAATTTAGTCCATTTTAGTACTTTTGGTATACGTATTGTTAGGATCTCAGAAAACCCCTCAAGATTGTCTTCCTACACAACATCAAAGACTAAGTCCAAATTTTAGATTTTAAGCTCTATGCGTTCCCCAAATACAAAAGTTAGTACCATTGAGTACTTTTCGCACTTTCTGGTACGTATTTCCAAATCTCCCGCCATGTATCAACCGAACCACACAAAAGGTGGTTCTAATGCCAAATTTTACACATCCAACTCAATATTTACCCAAATTGCAAATTTAGTACCATTTAGTACTTTTTAGCACGAATTTCCAAAACCACTTCCAAATCTCAACCGTACGCAATAACAGTGATATAAATGCGAAATTTCAGATTTCGATTTCAGATTCAGTGATTCAGTGATATAAATGCGAAATTTCAGATTTCAAGCCGTAACCGTTCACGCAATACCAAATTGTACCAAATATTGTACGATGTAATACATTTCGTTCACTTTTAGTACACATTTCCAAAACCAGCTCTTTATGAGAAACATATCACCAAAAGGACCACAGTAAAAAAATTCAAAATTCTAGCTTCATCCAATCTCCCTGAACCAACCTATTCCAAATTTAGTACCATTTAGTACAGCTCGTACACTTAGTACACATTTCCAAAACCACCTTCATATATCAAACGTACTTTTCAACCTTGATTATCATACCAAATTTCATGTTCTTGGATTTATACGTTCACATAGTACCAAACGGTATCTTTTTAGTACCATTTAGTACAGTTTGTACACTTAGTACACGTTTCCAAAACCACCATCATATATCAAACTTACTTGCCAACCTTGATTCTCATACCAAATTTCAAGTTAATATCAAATGGTACAATTTTAGAAGTTTAGTACCATTTAAGGACTTTTTATATCCCTAAAGTTCGAATTTCCCAAAACCCTTTGGTACTTCCATACTCTCATTCCAAATTTCAGAATTCTAGCTCATTTAGTTTGTCCAATACAAGGTATTCAATTTTTAGTACATTTTAGTACTTTTCGTACCCTTCGTTTTATACTCTTATCTTTCTCCTTTCTTTTATAGGACCTGAAAATAAATATAAATATTTACATTTTTTTCTAATGTTTTTTTTTTCTTTTTATTTTCCAGGAATTTACGAAGTGCCACACGATCCCTCCAAAACAAAACCCATCGGTCCATTTACGGAACCCGTATCAGCCATTTTAGCACCTAGCAGTATAACGCACAAATCCTCACCGCAACTACAGTTAAGAACCCGCGAATTAGATCCATCCGCCGATAATGGCAAAGATACCCAGTATTTGGTGGAAGAAGATAAGTCTGAATGCTGATATAAACCCTAACATCAGATTTTAGCTACGGCAACAACAATAACACTAACAACCTGTGGAACAACTACGATAAAGAGAACAAATTTAAATTTAATTTAACATAACGTTAATACCAGCAACAACAACCACAACAACAGCATGAACAGGAAAAGTAAAATAATGAACAACAACAACTATTACAGCCACTATAAAATCCAACCACAACAACAGCTAGAAGTGACAGCAACCGTTGATGTCAATAAGAACACTTAGATAACGTCAGAAAAAAAAAACAAAAGAACAGAAACTATATAAATTATTTATATATACATACTTTTTTATATAAATATATAGCTATGTAAGGAAACAAACAAAAAAATATATAAGATGGAAAACGGAAAGGAAGGAAGAATGAAAAAAAAAAAAACGGAGAAAACAAGAAACAAACAAACAAAAAAAATCCAAAAACATATCTTTGATGTATAACAAAATTTTGAAAAATTGAACTTAAAGTTTGAGTTTGAAAATATACAACACAACACACACACCATGATGCCCACACACACACACACACGGATAGTGATATAGGCCACAAAATGTAATTTGAAGTCCCAACTGTCAACTCTCAAGAACCTGTATTATACTATTTTAGATCAAGAGAAAACGATCGATCGTTTGAGAGTATGAATTGGGATGAAATGAAAACTCTTTTTTTTTTGGGAAGAATATCACATATACATACATAAAATATATATATTTATTATTATAAATTAAATGAAAAAAAGACAATATTTAAAAAACAAAAACCAGAATCTCTATATAGTGAAAAAAAAAGAAAAACCCAAGACATTTTTGTGTATTTTGTAAAAATTAACCAAGAGCAAAAGCAAAACAAAACAAAACTAGAAAATGAAAATGCAAGCTAAAAACAAATTGTATGTATAAAAAAATTGAAACAGAGGTAAAAAGAAAGAATGAAAAATAGTTTTCTAAATATTTTATATATTTTTTATAAAAAAAACACAATCAAAACGCAAAAAAAAATAACAACAAAAATCTTACCTAAAAACAAACCAGAAACAAACTAGCAGCAATGTAAAATGAGGTTTAGTTAAAAAAAAACAACAAATTTGCAATGTTTTTCCTTTTGTTAAACGTTGATGACAGTTAAATGAAAAGCTTTTTTTTTGGAAAATCCAATTTTTGTTATTACTAGATTATATTTAAACATAAAAAATTATTATTGAACAACAACTATAAAACTCAACACCCCCTTCCTGTGCAATGGAGGAAAGGTTCTTACAAAGGGTTTGAAAAAATACTTTTTTTAATATTTCACTGACATAAAAGTTACTATTTTTGCAAGAAATGTTTTACAGAGACAAGCCTATTTTAACAAAAAAAAGGAAAATTAAATTTTTACATAAAATCTTTTCATTCAAAATGAAATAAACAAGCGGATTTTGTCTGGAGCCAGAGCTCATATTCCTTTTTAATTAAATATTGGAAAAATACACATTAAAAACTGAGATTGAAAAGTAATTTAAAATTGAAAACATCACATTTTATAACATCACCCAAAAGCTCTTATTTAATTTAAATATTTTCCCCATAAGAAGACCTTCCAACATTGCACAAACTCTTGTTTTACAAAGAATATAAATTTATTTTTTTTTTTTTTCAAAAGAAGTATGATCCCGCTACGTCAAAATTGAAATTGTTTCCCATCTCTCTCTCTCTCTAAAGAATTTGTTTCTATTTGTTGTTGTTTTTTTATTTCATCTTTTTTAAAACAAAGCAATAACTAAATATTATTTAAAGTTGTGAATTTATATATATATATATTAAAATAAAACATATACATTCTTTTTTTAAATATACATAGTTTCTACACAAAAAAAAAACAACAATTAAATTCATTAAATTTTTATATAAATATTATATATGTGTCTTATTAAGTTTTTAAAAACTTTTTATTAAGTTTGTATTTGTAAACTCTAAATGGAAATTAAGAAAATTTAAGAAAAATACGAAGATTAAACATTCCTTTAAAAATACTTTTTTTATTTAAAATATATCTTTAAAGTATTTCATTTATTGTTTTTGATTTATTATTGTATTGTATGATTAAACCTTATATTTTTATTACCAACAAAGAAAAAAAGACATCACGTTTTGTGGAGAAATAAGTAAAGGGAGCAAATTTATAAGGAGAATACTAAGAGCATTTAATAATTCTGTGTTTTTTCTTTCTCTTTCTTTAAACCCCCTCACGTTAGCAGCTTTTGTGAAAGAAACAAAGCCTAGCTTTATCTTTCGCCTTAATTTGTTTGTGTTCCCCTTCCCCGCCATTTTGTGGCTTTCAATTCTCTCTTTTTCTCCACTTATTTCTCTCTTTTAATTATTATTACTATTATTAATTGCAATATTTATGTCATCACAAATAAATGGTTTTTTATTAAATATATAAAAAAAACTAACAACAACAAAACACATATTTTTTAAAGCGAACCTGTGCTTCCTTTCGTTTTTTTAGAATTACAAAAAGAAATGAGAAAAATATATTAAAATAGCATTAAATTTTAAAAATTTAGTAAAGTATATGAGAACAAGAAAATGAGAAAGTAAAATAAAAGGAAATTTGTTAATAAATAAAAAATGTAAAAAACAAAAAAGAAAACTGTTGTTTTATTTATGAAAAAACTTTTTTTTAAATACAAAACTATATATTTAGTTTATACCCTATACCCCACCACCGTAGAGACAACTAAAACAAACAAAGCGAACAGAATAGCAAGAGTTGCCAACGTTATTTAGTCAAGACACACACAAAACATTAAAGACTGACCCTTCTTATGAATGTTATATGTAACCAAATACAGATGGCGCTACAATATTTTTGCTTTGTACTGTATTAAAAGATTTAATCATGGTGCCAAACAAATCATATGTTATGCTAGGAACACAATTGGAGCGAACGACGAATTTTTTCGCGGCGTATGTTCGTCGTCAAAAATAAAACACATATGTGTATATGGAAGTGCACACAATCACGGCACCGGCGAAAATTTCGTCGGTCGCCGCGAACTCAATTAGCTTTATTTCTATTTCATACGCCGGCGACCGGCGAACAAAACAGTACAAGGTGGCCATACTTGTACGAATTTTATGTGTTTCAGTAAATAAAGTTACTTTTTACTTTAAAATTTGTTATGGTCACTCTACTATCTGTTACTCGTATAAAAAAACATAATTAATTTGTTTATTTATTTGTGTACTTGCGCCTGAGTGAAGATGGATATCAGTGAATTTATAATAGAGAAGATGGACATAAGTGAAATTATAATAGAGAACGTAAAGAATTATGTGTTCTTGTATAATTCATTGTAGTCAACAAATGAGCAAAAAGTAAACAACTTCATCAGCTGTTTTATAATTTCGTCGGTATTGTGTTCCATACGACGAATTTTTGCGGCTCATTTTGTCGCCGCGTAGGGCGAAATTCGTCGTTCGCTCCAATTGTGTTCCTAGCATTAATTTGAGCTGCAATTATGTTACTTCAAAAATAAATAGATTTTTATATGTTTTCCTCTACGACGTCAATTGGAGGTTATTATAATAAGCGTTTTCAACAATTTTTACAAATTTAAATAATATTTCATTCAACATTTTCAATTCCAAAATCGGTTTGACAGTTCATTGTTCTAGCAGCTGTGTCGATGCGCCTACCTACATTTTTCTACCATGATATATATTCTTGATAAAATATGTACTTCCTTGGGGTCAGAGAGTAGGTGTGTCTGGTTACCCTAAAATTTGTAACAATTGTTACAAATTGTTACTGGATGTCGTCTGTTAACCCGAAAGTTCTGCAAAAGAGAGCGGTTGGAGAGAGAAATTTTTACAGTTCTTTCAGTGAGAGTTTGCAAATTCTTGCTGGACAAATTTCTTCTTGCAATCTCTTGCAACTCTTCTTCTTCTCATTCGTCGACATTCAATCAGATGTTTTCTATTGTTTATTTATTTCTTTTTGTGATTTTAATTTGAAAATATTGTTTTGAAATTAGCAAGACTAATTGTTTTTGGAGAACAACTTTGAACTGAAAAACATAAATATTAATATGTAATAAGAAAATAAAAGACTATTTCCAACATTTTTAGACAAATGTCATTAGCAACAGGTTTAAATAATTCCGCGGAACACATCAAATCTATCTTCCTTTTATTGCTCATATTTTTATTTTAATTTTTTTTATTTCGTTAAATTCTTTTAATGGAAGACAAATTGGTTTGTTTTGACAAATCAGCTGATTAGTTGCAAGCTTCTGCAGGAATACCGTCTGTTTACTTTTGCAATTTCCTCGCAAAAGAGAATAAAACTACCTTACTCTCTGAGAAAGATGTTGCTGGACAATTCCTGCAGGAAAAGTAACCAAACACACCTAATGCAAATATGTTTTTTTTTTTGCTGGCTTAGCATTCGTCGCTGCACTAACAATACTTTCTCCTCTTCATACTCAATTGAACTTAAGAGATATGAAGCATTTATTATATTATATTCATTTTCACTATATTTTTTCCGAATGAGAAGAAATTAAGATTCAAAATGTAAAATTTTTTATCTTTCTTGTCAACAACAAGGGAGTGTTGCCAACTTTATTTTTTAAACTTTCGCTCCTATGCCTTACCGTAATACAATTTTTTAATCAAAGCGACTGCGACGACTATAGAAACGACAACCGTAATTGGGCCTTCACCTTTCTATGGAGGGTATATTAAGTTTGTCATTGCGTTTATAACACATCAAAATATACATTTTAGACCCCAAAAGGTATATATATTTTTGATCAGCATAAAATTCTATGCCGATTTAGCAATGTCCGTCCGTCTGTGGAAATCACACTAGCAGAAAAATGTCTGTGCAGGTCCACGTCTTCGTATAACCCTTATATAACGGTACCTACCGATATTCAGTATTTTGATGGTTTTAGTATTTTTGTAATGTAACGGCAAGCTTCGGAATTTTTAAGATTTTTACAGAATTTTTAATTTTTTTTTTATTTTTTGAAAATGTCCAAATTCAAGAGGAAGAGGGTATTAAAAGTTAGGTTTAATTGATATTCAAAGTTAGGTTTAATTGGTATAGCTCTTAAAAACTCACCTTTATTATCAAGACCTGCCAAGGAGACTACTTTTGACAACAAATGTAGTTGTTTTTGCACAAATTCAAATCATAATTATACCTTTTGATATTAAAATTTACAATCCATGCATTGGATTTATAAATATATACATTTTGACAGTGAAATGTTGTCAAATGGATAATATTGAATATTTTTAATCATATCAATGCACGGCGTTATGGATTGAGCATATGCAACGCTTTCGACGAGCGCCACAATTATGTGCGTAAATTTCAAACGTTTTAAGTATGGCAACCCTCAACAAAACTCCCCCATTCGGTTCGGATGGAGAAACAACTTTCTCTCGCGCATTTTAATTTATTAAAAGAAATAAAATAACCAACCACTGAAACAACAAAAAGTAAAGAGTGTTTGTGTGTTTTATTTTGTGTTTTTTCTTTCATGTGCTTTTCATTGGTTCAGTATCAGTTTGCCAATTCTGTCGTGAAGTTCGGTCGTCGATCGATTGTCAGTTGTGGGGCTACTCGCGTTTTTGTTAACCCCTTCTAAAAATTCTTGTGTACGTAAGCGTCATTAGTTATTTTATTTATGTGATTTGTTTTAATTGAAATGAAGAGAAAACACGTGTTAAACTTGATAAAAATGTATTTTTTTTTTAATTTGCATAAGTTAAAAAACTTCATGTAATCATCTGATGTTTTTCCAAAGAGGTGTGAGAGAGTTTGTATGTATGCATGTTGCTGCAGAAAAGAAATGCCACACAAAAAAAGGAGATAGAAGATTTTGTGATGAGTTTGTTTTTGTTTAATGTTGCTTTTTTATCAAAATATAAACAAGACAAGGTCATTTATTTATTACGGTTAGATAATCATTTTTTACAAAGAAATTATACTATAAAATTTTTATTATTTTAACAATAGATAATAAATTGCACAGTAAAATGCATTATGTCATTCATCATATTTGCAAGCTAATTAAATTTATGCTAATAAGACATAATTTGGTGGTGTAAAAGGAGAAGAAAATAAAGATTTTTAAAATTGGACCACCTCATAAATCGATAGAGCTTATTTCGTCTTTTATCGTGCCCTCTTATCCGTCTGCAGTATTCTTCATCGTCTAGGTCAAACCCCAACCGGCATTCTATTTTGTGTATATCTTCTTGCACTTCATAAAACATACGTTTACACAAATATTTACTTTTTGTATTTTCTTTTGTTGCGCGTTTGTTGTAGTTTTTTGTGTTATTGTTTACATTTGCAACAGTTTGTTTTGTTGTTGATTGTAGTTCTTCCCCCTCAATGTCGCAAGTTTTGTAAAGTGTGTAGTTTTTTATTGCTTTCCTCCGTCTTTTTCATGAGTGCTAATTTTGTATCAACAAGAGCTAACACTTCGCCAATTAAATCACTTTCGCGTTCATAAAATGTTCTACAACATGTCAGACATTATTTAGGTCACATATTTTCTTGGCCATCGAATAATTTTCATTTGGAAAAATATTAGTTGAATAATGGTGTAAAAAGTTGAAACCTTACACCGAACAGGTTTCCCGTTTGGGCTTAACTCTAGTTGATAAAAACTCTTCAATTGTTTTTAGATTTTTTTCAGTGGTAGGTATTTTTAGCCTGATACCCGGGACGCCAGATTTTTGACCCGAGAGTCCGGATTCAAGATCCAAGAAAATATAGTTTCAGAGTAAAAATATATATAATTTTAAAAGAATTCAGGTAGTCGCATCGACACAGGTGCTGGGACAATGAACTGTCAAATCGATTTTGGAATTTAAAAATGATTGAATTTTGTAAAATTGTTAAATATACATGTCAAAACAGCTTCTGATTTGTGGCGTGTAAGAAAACATATATATTCTACTTATTTTTGACAAAACCTTTTAAAATTTTTAACTTATCGATGTTCATAAGCGTTGATGCATCTACCTGTATTCTTCTACTATGGTACATATATTCTGGATCAACACAATATTTAAGACTTAACTCTAGTTAAAAAAAACTGAGTTCTGTTTGCATTGCTCCCGATTTTTATTCTAATTTCTGAAAAAAATGTTTTTAAACATTTTTAAATGGTGGAAGGTATTTAAAATTTTTATAGAAGTTCTTTCTAAGCACTTTACTCCCTGGAAGAGAGATGTCTATATAGATCCACGATATCGTATAGCCTACATAAAAATTTTAGAACGTTATTCACCGGAGTTTTTTCAAATTTCGTAATTAGAAGGGTATTACAGTCTATGACAGAAAATTGTCTATGTAGGTCTAGGTCTTCGTATAGGCCCTATATATCAGTACCTCCCTATATTCGGTATTTTTACGATTTTAGGTACAATATTCACCGAAATTGTTTGAAATTTCGTATTTGAAGTTCCTAATAGGTACTACAGCCTGTGACAGAAAATTGTCTATGCAGGTACCTCCCCATATCAGTATTTTGATTATTTTAGCTAGCTTTTGTATTTGAATATCATAATTGCTTGTGACAAACGTTACCTATTCTGGTCCACGTCTTGGCATAGACCCAAATATAACGGCTTTATTCGGTATTTTTAAGATTTTAACATAATTTTTAACGGATTTCATATTTTTAAATTTCCAAATGGTGGACGGTATTCAAACTTTGGTCCATCCGAACTTATTGCTTTTTTTAGTTGCCTAGTTTTTAGCCTGATTTTTGAGGCCTTTTGGGTGTTGTTGTTTTGACGTTGGCGTTATGTATACATAAACTTTCCTAATGTAGATAGAGGTGATAAGGCTATTAGGCGAAATCACAGACATTGGACCATACATTTAATTTTGATTTGATAACCTTTCATCTTAGCGTCTAAAATTTGTAAACAAACAAACAACAAAAAATCGAATGTGGTTATTTGCAGTGCAATTTTGATGTGTTTCACTACATTGAGGTTGGGATATAGGTTTGTGTTAATTGAAATTTCGGAATATTACGAGCAGGAAATTTGGTCAGATAACTTTAATTTGTATTTTTAAAGTGTCTAGATCCAAATTCTCACATTCAACATTTCACAAATTTTGATGGGGTTTGAAAGGCATAAAAGATGTTTAGATTAAAAAAACAAGAATATTTTGGTAGACCCGATTGGAGATGGATATTTGGAGGGGTTACCGAAATTTTCAATTTTATCAAACTAAAATGAAATTTTTTAAATTCATTTTTATCGGAATTTTAAAATGAGAATCCATAGGTTTTTTGACAGTCTTAAGTCATCGGCATAAATGACGGGCCGAAACTGAACTAATTTAACCTAAGACTGCATTGTTGAACGGACTGAATAAGCCATCCGATCTCTTAATACAGTATACAAATTTTAATCCTCGCTATATGTATTGAATTAAGCATATATGTACACATAAACATATATATGTTCCATAAACCAAATAATTTATTAAAACAACAAAAAATTCTTTCTCCAATAGCAAATTTCTTTGGAAATTTTTTGAATATTGTGTCAACCCGTGCCATGCCCCCTTTCAAAGTCGCCATATGTTCAAACAAAATTTTTAAAATTATTTGTTATTCATTTTGGTAGCAATTACGAGACGAACGACAAAAATGCTATTTCTTTTCTTGAGTGTTTGCCAAAAAATTACCAATACATAAAAAGACACTGTACATTAGGGCATAGCTGATTTCTAATATATTTCAGTGACACACTTTTATTATAACCTCCACCATAGTATGGAGTAAGTTTGTCATTCCGTTTGTAACACCTCGGAATATACATTTTAAACCCAACAATTTATATATATTCTTGATCAGCATAAAATTTTATGTCGATTTAAGGAAGTCCGTCCGTCTATCTGTCTGTCCGTCTGTGGAAATCACTCTAGCTTCCGAACTAAAGTAGAAGTAGATTGATAAAAGTTTACTAAAATGTGTATTATGTCCGCAGGACTTTTGGTATTGAAAATGTTCCATGTAGGTCCACATTTTGGTATAGCCCCCATATAACGGTACCTCCCGATATTCGGTATTTTGATGATTTTAGCGACATTATTCACCGGAATTGTTTCAAATTGGATGTGGATGCTACAGCCTAAGACAAAAAATTGTCTGTGCAGGTTCACATCTTATAGCCCCCATATAATGATACCTCCCCTTATTTGGTATTCTGATGATTTTAACGATATTATTCATCGGTAATCGGTAAAATTTGGTATTTGAAGTTCGTAATGGATGCTACAGCCTAAGACAAAAAATTGTCTGTGTAGGTCCACGTCTTCGTATAGCCCCCATATAACGGTACCTCCCGATATTCGTTATTTTGTTGATTTAAGCGACATTATTTACCGGAATTGTTTCAAAATTGGTATTTGAAGTTCGTAATGGTTACTGCAGTCTAGGGCAGAAAATTGTCTGTGCAGGTCCAAATTTTGATATAGCCCCCATATAATAGTACCTCCCTATATTGATAATTTTAGCTACATTATTCACCGATTTTTTTTTCAAGTTTCGCATTTGAATATTGTAATGGCTTAAGTATAAAGTATATTCAATTATTTTGAGATAAAAATACTTAAAACAATAATGCCCCAAAAGAAAAATAAACTCTGTACGGTCTAATGTATCTTATTTTAGCTATCGTACTTTGCACCTTTGTTTGTTTATCTATTTTGATAAAAAGAAAGAAAAAGATTTTTTTTTTGCCCAAACCTCCTCTTCCACAAGAAATTTTGAACAGATATAGGATTTGTTATTTTGGTGATCAACAAAAACTAGAAAAAAAAACACAACAGTCACACACCCCTCATTTGAATTGAAATATTTGAATTTTGGGGGCAAATACAACGCGTGCAAATTAAGTTTCCCTAACACGTCGATGAACTAGACAAGAATAAATCACATTTTTATTTGCCCTTAGTTGCAAATTAATATTCATATTTACTTGTTGCCATAAACCTGTGGTGGCAGACTGTGTTAAACACAAATAAACAACACACGAAATCTCATTAATAATAGCTGCTGCTTTTTATTATGCGAAAAATAAGAAATGTGTGATAATTATGAATGTCTGATATCTTATCAAATATTATTTTTTTAACATAGGGGGTAGATGTAGACGATGTTGTCGCTGAGGAGGTAAACGATAATGAATCTAATCTGTTTTTTTTTTAATTTGAATTTTCCTACCCTTAAGAGAAGGATTATTCTTTTGAACCAGAGCCCTGTAAACCAACCTTTATCTTATCACGGCAATTGTTTGTCGATATATATTTTTTAATTTCAATAAGTGTGGACCAACACGGGTACTTCCTTCAAAAGTTAGTGTCACGAAGTGACATAACACCAACTGGCGCTTTGCAAAAAAAGTCTCGGCTCTTAATTGACGTTTTTGTAGCATCAAACACTTTATTTGTTTTTATAAACACCAATATACGTCATAAAATTGACTTTGCTCGGAAAGTATTTAATTACACATATATGTATATAAACAAATAACTTGGACGCATCTTCCTGTTAGAATGTTGTTCTCAATAATATTGGCATGTATATATTGTTTAGTCTCTTATCACTTACCAGGCGTTTTGGATGCACTTGTGGTTTCAATCAAACAAAACACCAATGGTCGAATTTCAATAACAATCGCACACGTTTTAATGTAATCAAATTAATCGATTTCAATGTCCATTTCCGTTGACTTATGATTTCTAAACTTTGGAATTTCTATTATATTTTTCGACCTTTGTTGAAATTAGAGGAAGAGTACGAAAAATATTACCAAATTCCAAGGGTATAAAAATTATGCACATCCCTCGAAACCTTGCTACGATCACCGATTGTTCCTTTATAATATTAAAAGTTTTCAAACTAGCAGATTTTTGCTGGAACAGATCAATTACTAAGATGGGATTTAAAAAGGAGAAGGTACTAGATAATTGTGGTTGTTGTAGCAGCTCCTACTGCTGTGTCTTTTTGCTTCTTCTCAACCTGGCTTTGCTGCAACCTGTTGGGCAATGAAAGAGATGCAGCTTGTCAAATTTTTAACCTTCCTACAGAAAACTTTAGGCTACCTATTAAAGAACCTAACTGACAATTAAAGAACCTGACTCAAAGTGATCATCACATCGATGCCCATTCTTGTTAGAAAATTTTATTTTTCCTCAAAAAACATTTCATCTTGGGAATCGGATATATCAGTGGTTGCTACCAGAGAAACATCTGCTGGGTGCTACAGCCTTGCTGGGTACTACAGCATATGACGAAAAATTGCATATGCTGGCTCACGTCTTTGTATAGCCCCTATATTACGGTTTTCACTTAAGCGGTATTTTTCAGATTTTTTTTAAATGTTTAAGTTTCTTCCAATTGGGGGTGTGTAAAAAAAATTCGGCCCGGCCGAACTTAGCCGCTTTTTTATCGGATTGAGATTAAATTCTCCAAACAATATTTGTTTGGTCCAAGGACGAATCCTATTGAAATTGGTGAGAATCGGTTCAAATTTAGATGTGACTCCCATATATATCTTAAGCCGATTTCTGATAAATTTCGCACCAAATGGCCAATATCAGTCCAGATGATCGGAATTTTGGCACATACGACAAATTCAGTCTTCAGAATCAAATTTGGAGAAAAACATTTCTGATATAGCTATAGCCCCCATATATATTTAATCCGATTCGGTGTTAAAGTTCCTCACATGCGCAATATGCACTCCACAACAATGGTCCTTGGTACCGAATATCAGACGCAGCTCATCAATAATTGTTTAAAGATCGGTTCTGATTTGGATATAGATCCAAAATATATATATTTATCCGATTTCAGGTGCACCAAATGGCTAACATTAGAGCAAATGGACTGCATTTTAGCACTTCCGACGTAATTCAGCCTACAAGCAAGTACTTCAAATTTTGGTGAAAATCGGTTCATATATAGCTATAGCCCTCATATATATTTCATCCGATTTGATGTTAAAGTTCCTCACATGCGTAATATGCACTCCACAACAATGATATTTGATATCGAACACCAGATACACCTCGAAAATACATCTGCCAAATTGTATTAATATAATTTGTTTTTGTTACGGGATCTCTACTAAATACGCATGGTGGTGTAGGGTATCATAAAGTCGGCCCCGCCCGACTTTTGACCTTTCCTTATTGGTTTATAGGCTCTTCTGTAACAATTCTAATTCTTTAAGGTTTGAGAGGAGAGAATTTGAAAAAATTGAGATTTATTGGAATCGTTTACCGATATGGGATTAATTATAAAATAAGAAAAACTGCGAGATCCGCCTGAGAGGATATTAAAAATACCAAATTTTTATTACCAATATTCAGGGCTCATATAAAAATGTAAAACGATGCTTGTTGGTCGAATTTGTATGCGGAAGAAGTCAGATTTTAAAATTACAGCCAATTCGGTTGAAACTTGGTGCTGAAAACTTTGAAATACCCAACATAAGGAAGTTTCTCTATATGGGATGGTGTTGCCATCTGAACATTGGCTCAAATAAAGGCTTGTGTCTTCTTTGGTACCGTTAAATAGAACCCTAAAACAGTGGATCTATATTCACCCTTCCTGGATAAAAGATATCTTACATACTGAAAACCCTAGATATTAACATTGACTTCTCAATTTATGTCTAAAACTTTTTAAATACCGATAATCTGCCGGTAACGTTATATCAACCATTCAAGACATAATTCAATTTTCTTTGTGAAATTTAAAAACTTTATAAAATATTTTGCATTTTCTCTTGTTTATGACTTGAACAATATATATTAATTACACACATGATGCACATCTTTATATATCTCCATTTTAACGTAAAGAGGATAAAATTTAAAAAATACCTTCAAATTTTCTGTGAGATAAAAAGGTTTGTGCCGAAAAAGTAACCCACTGTGTGGTTTGTGTCTACGCTAAAGCACCACCTTTACACAAAAGCTTTTTATAAGATAAGCAATAACAATAAAATTGTTTAAACTTTTCTTATTCTTTTAAATGTCCACATCGAATACCGATAGGTTCTTTAAACCCCCTGACAACAGAAACACCATTATTCCTATCAATAATGGGTACTTTACGATAACGTTCATTCCAAATATTTATCTTAGGAAATGTGTTTTTGTTTGATTATTGACAGGCACTGTCGTATATCAACTCGATGAACGTTAACCAAGCTTATCACCAACAATCAACCATAAACACCATACTCATACTCTCGTTTTACTCTTTGTTCTCTTTACAGTTCTGACAACAAGAAAACCAAACAGCAGCCAACAGACAGCTGTGGAACAATAACAAAGTTTTCCAAGCACACACACACTCATTCACGTCAACGGCCATCCCCACCGTCTTACTTTCTGCGTTGTAAACTCGTCGCTCGTTATTATTCCCATAACAATGAGTCGTCTCTTGCTTAGCAATTCCAATGCCGCCATCCAGCGTGCCACTGCTGCTGCCGGCAGCGCTGGTAGTAATGCATTGAGAGCACCATCAACCTCATCGCCGGCTATTTCCAACAATCACATATCTCGTCGTTGGAAATCATTGTTGATACACACCAACAAACCACAGCAGCAGAACAAGCAACAACGAAACCAACTCTCCTCATTCAGTCCGGCTCAGACCTCTAGCGCGCGCTGTAGTCGTGTCAGTAACAACTTGTATGTACCGAAATATTGTCGCGCTCTAAGTACCTCCGCCGTCGATCAAGCCAAAATGTCGGGAAATACCTCAAAATGTTTACAACTGGAGAATATCAATCCAAATTTTATAACCATGGAATATGCTGTGCGTGGTCCATTGGTCATAAGGGCCGGTGAAATTGAAAAAGAACTGAAACAGGTATGTCCGACTATGTGTGTCTTCTTCTAAGTGGTGAATTGTGTGTATTGAAATTTGAGAAGAATAAATCATCCCCAGTAGAACTGAAAAGCGAAATGCCTCATCTCGAAATGAGAAGAAGGGAAGAGTTTGCTGCGATATCCTTGTATTCCGAAGGAAACCCTAATGCGTAGTGTCGAACAGATGTTGTTATTGTTTGGCAGTTTTTTTGATAAAAGTGAATTTTAATGAGCCCTAGCCATATGTGGAGCGAAACTACGTGTATGGTTTTTGCAAACGGGTTTGATTCATTTACCAAGCGGTACACACGCCATAGTTGTTAGAAAAAACAATAAAGCTTCAAACAAGTAGGTAGTAGAAAAATATGTATGTCAGTGTGAAAGGCATACAAATAAATAAAAACCAAAAATGCCAGCAACACAACGCAATGTAAATAGCTCTAGGGGGCAGTGTTATTGTTTACATTCTTGAAAAATTGTAATTTGTTTATATCCGCAGTTATTCATAAGCGAAAAAGTCAGCAAAGAACATTTGAATAGGGCGAAGGTAAAAAATTGTTGTAGGGAATAAAATTGAAAAAGACAATTGGAATTCAATCAATTCATGGCAAATATTAGAAAAATAGACAGAGTTCAATTATTATATTTTGCGGATGGACCAAGTGAAATCATAAAGAGATTTCACATTCGAAATCTGTGTTCCTCATATTTGGACATTTTATCTGCAATATTAGACATTAGTATTTGGCAAAATTTCCTCCTGGCTTATAAAATTAACTAGTAAGGAAAGATAAAATAGGATGAACCGACTATACAGGGTGAGATAAAAAAAAATGCAACAAAGTCAAACGCCATGATTTTTATTTTTTTTTTTTTACTTTTAGTGAATGAAAGCAAAAAATATCGGAAATAGCATCAAATTTAAGAATAAGTTTAGATTTGTTCGAATTGGTCACCTTTGGCCCGAATTATGGCCTTCAAATGGCCAATGCCCGAATGTTGCTCTGCAGTATTTTGGCCGATTCCCGAAACTTTGGTATTTTTTAGTGCCAACCTTGCTTTCCAAAGTACTCCTGACACAATAGTTCAACGGATTGGTATCCGGACATTTTGGTGGTCATTGTGCGCTGGAAATGAAGCGAGTAACATCATTTTGTAATCATTCTTGGGTGGTGCGTGCTGAGTGCAATGGTGCTGAGTCCTCTTGGAATGCCCAAGGTCTGCGGCCAAAATGTTTGCGTGCCCAAGGCTTTAATACACCCTCCAGAATATTATGGCGATAATACTCGGAATTTATTCTGACGCCACGGTTGATTAATACGAGCAGAGAACGACCATCGGCTGTTATGGCGGCCCACCATCACCATGGCCGGCGCTTGAGTTCTGGTGGCTAACCGAAGGTGCACATTTTCAGCTGACCTCTTTGGCAAGTAAACACGATCATTTTGTTTGTTTACAAACTGCTGGACAACGAATGTTTTCTCATCGGAGCGGAGAAAACGAAATTCGGCAGTTCACTTTCGGCCAAGCGAAGAAACTCCTTACCTCTTTTGAGTCTATTTTCTTTCTGTAGCGGTGTAAGTTCTTGCACTTTTTGGAATTTCAATGGCTATACCCGAGCTCAATTTTCAATATTTGTCCAATGGAAAATTGCGATATGTTCAGATCAAGAGTCATTTATGGGCCACTGCGACGCGGGGTTCGATCAAATCGCTTTTTTTACTTTTCGAACCATTTCTGCTGATGTTGCTGTTTTCTTCTGTCCACTTCCTTGACGTCGGGCTACGCTACCAGTATCACAGTGACTAGCAATGGTACGAGACACAAAAGATTTATTCACATTTAAATGCTGGAGTGCTCTGACGATAGCCACTTGTGGTTTTCCAGCCAAATATAAAGAAATCACACTATCACGCTTGAATTCTATCACGAATACCTTTTTTCTGAAAAATTCTCAGCAAAATGCTTTTGTACACTTGTAAACAATACTGGAATAATTTTAACAGCTGTCGGACGAGTGGCTTGGAAATGACAGCAGTCTGAAGTTGGTTGCAGTTTTTCCATCTCACTCTGTATTTTTCTAATTCAACTCTTTAATTTGTGTATTTTGCTATAATTCTGTTATTGTTTTTCTTTTCCTCTTTCTGGAGGTTAAATTGTGCTAATTTATTATTTATACCATAATTAACACAAAAATTTTTTGCTCTTTTACAACAACATTCTAACAAAATGTTTTTATATTCGAACGCTGTATATTGGCACTGCTCTTGTTTTTGGCCATTTTACGAGTTCAAAATAAAAAAGCCAACATTTTAAGATTGTATATCATGGCAATGTGGTTGTCGCTTTCTTTTTGTCGATAATTTCTTTCGAATGTTTATTTTGTTTATATAGATTATTTCCATATCTAAATTCGTAGATTGTATACCACTACATTGTTGTTGTGCTCAGTTTTTGATCATTTCTATCGAATGTTTTTTTTTTTTGTTTATATAGATTAGTTCCATATCTAAATTCGTTCCATAAAGCCAGTTGACAACAATGTTCTTCTGTTATTAACCTAATAATAAAAGAGTCAAATTGTAATAGTTATTTCGTTAGCATATCGCAAACAGTGATATGTACTAATTGTAGTAATTTACATAGGTGCAGACACACCATTTTCATGTTTAGCATGTTAAAGGACAATATGTGTGCCCTTGAGTGACGAATAAAAACGAAAATAGTAGACTTCTCTGGGACAATTGTAATTATTATTTGTTGGTATAAAGGGTAGGTGTAGGAATCCTCTATAAATCAATTATAATCTATAAGTTACTCAGATCATTTCAAAATTTAATGATTTCGAAGAATGATTTAATTCAATGAAAAAAATGTCTTTAAATGTCACTATAAGGTTGCAATTACATTTTTAATTTCGAGACAATTTTGAATTTTTTTAGATATAAAAAATCTGTTCTTACAGGGTATATCGAATGTTGGATTATACCTGTCCCCGTCCGATATAAAAGATTTCCTCTTTGAAACAAAAACCTTGTTATTGTGGTTTTTACAAATACGCCGCACGAAAAGCTATCGTGTTCTAAACTAAACATGCAAGTGTTATAATTTCCATCTCAAATATCACCATCATCATTGGCGTCATTATGAAAGTACATATTACATGGTATTTCTCCCCGCTGGAAATGTGAGGCATTGGCATCATCTATTGCATTTTCAATAGCCCACTAATTGGTGCAATTGTTCTCATTTCGAACGTGTCTCGTTTACCACATTTGAACACACATAGTTGTTAATTACAGACATAGTTATATTATAAACTGGATCCGTGCATGGGTGTATGGACAAATTTTCAATTTTTTTTTTTTTTTGAGTTTCTTGTACATGTGTATGTATGTATCCTTCTTTGTTAATTTTTATCTCTTCAAACGCTCGCTTGAACACGATTACTTTTCTTAATGCTTTTGTGTATTTTGCATCAAGTCTTGATTGCAGACGAATGCATGAATCTAAATTAAATTTGCTCTCAACCGCTAGATTGTTTTATTTGAATAATGTGTCGCTGGTCATTGACCTGCGTTTAATAGACCGATCGAATCAAGGTTTTCGTTCGTATAAGTTTAAGGCGAATTCGGGAATTCAGTAGAATACACGATTTTTATTTTTTCGGTAGTGGTTTAAGTTATTTTGAGACTGATACTTTTTCCCGCTAGATCTGGCGTTTAGTACTAATGAACATTTGTAACAGGGAAACGGTTAGTAGAACTTTGGCCAATAATTGGTCCTCGTTATTGAATTCGCATTAAATTAAGTTTAAATTTGAAATCGGATAGAGATGGCTTAATTGATTTTGAGAAGTCTCATATAAAGTTGTTTAAAACATATTTGATTTAAAACGTGTCAGACTTTATTCTAATCGAATCTTGATCGTATGATCTAAAACTCAACCTAATTGGATAAATGTAGCGTGGTTGGTGCATCTGTTACCTCAAATTACAGAGAAACGAATGTGAGAGCAGTATTCAAATCTGAACGATTTGGACAAAATTTGGCAAATGAATTTCTAGGCTGTGAATAATATCTTGTAACGAATATAATTGTTATGGAGTACATACTCCGATCTGGACGTTGGAGGTTAATTTTTAAAAATTCGAAATGCTTCCAAGTTTGGAATTATTTTAACATAGTTCTTTTTATATGTTGGAAAGGTGCTTTCTAAGTCCCATAGTTTGAGCTTGTTCTTAACTAAGTTTAATTTTTAGTTTCTTTTGTCTGAAAATTACCCAAAGGTGCTCTAAAATTTGAAAAATCTCTATTTTCCAAATTTATTCTGACTAAAGATCCTTATGTTCGAAAAGTGAACCCTGGCACAATTCATTTAATCCGGTCTCAGCTTCTGTACAGTGGGCCATTTTATTTCTAATTTCCCGAAGATCCTCTGATTATTATACCCTAAGCCATATGGCTACAGAGGGTATATATCATTTTAAACGGCCAAAACGTTCACCGACAGAGAAAGGATAATCTGGTTTTGATCAAACTTTGCATATCATAATATTTCCATCAGTTCTAGGTCAGGCGCGAAAATGGCAATATCGGTCCACTCCATCAAGTACCTCCCCCACAAATGGCCAACATTTTAAATAATTATAACTCCTATAAAATGTGATGTAAGAGTCCGATTATCTTCGAATTTCACACATCACAATATTTTTATTAACCCAAGGTCTGGTGTGAAGATGGAATATATCGGTCCACGCTTTCTGGTACCTCTCCCAGAAAGGGACAATATTTTGAGAATTCATGAAGCTCATTAAACACGAAATTAGCATCCGATTCAATTAAAATTCCATTTTGGTACATCTCAATATTTCCAACAACATAAATTCTGTTATAAAGATGGTAGTGATCGGACCATTCCTTCTGGTATTTCCCCCACAAAGGGTCAAAGTTTTGAATAACAAAACGATAATAAAACCCGAAATAAGCATCCGGTTCTCT